CGGTTCACAGCTGGCCGTCAGAGAGTACCTCTCAGCGCCAGCATGGCTGGGCCCCCTCGGGGCCTGGACCCCTTGACAGGGAGTGGAAGCCAAGGCTGCTGTCGGTGGCCAAGCGCTGAGCACCCCACCTGCTCTTCGCTGCCCCAGGGACTCAGGGTTCCCCTGTGCACAGCTGGCGACCATGCCGGAGCGCAGGGACACGGACAGGCCCACGTCACCGGGGGCTGGTGCAGCAGGCCTAAGCATGACCGTGGTCAGCTTCAGAGCCCAGGACTGTCAGCCTCTGCTTACCTTGGATGTCTACATCCTGCAGCAGTGAGGCCCTGGGGCTGAGCGAGCGGCTCGCACTGCCCCTGTCCTGCAGCTGGACACCCTGGCTCTGGCCGCCACCCGAAACGCCCGATCCAGCCCCTCATGCTGCAACCTGGGCTGTCAGAGTCGCTTGAGACCCGCCCCGCCACTCTAGGCAGCCCCCCCAGCTCCAGCGCAGAAGCTGCATCCTGGTAGGCGAGTCCCCAGGCCCCACCGGAGCCCCCTAACCCCACAGCGTGCCGCGGGGTGTTCCTGGGAGAGCTGAGTGTGAACACCAAAAAGACCAAGTGGCTGGGACGGCCTCGGGGCGGGAGGCCGACCCTGCTCCCTTCCTGCAGGCACTGCGAGGCCACGGCCAGCTGGAGGCGGGGCCCGGGCGCTGGAGCCAGACAGGAGCGTTTGTAGGTCAGGATGCTGCCCGGGGCTCAGGGGCTGTGGGCAGATGGCAGGGAGCGCCTGTCAGCTCCGGGAACCGCCCTACCCGGGCAGGGGCGGGGCACCAGCCAGCTCCAGGGAGGAGCAACTGTGAGGGCACCAGACCCTGGAGGCTGCCTCTGCTGGGGGACCCTGAGGCCTCCCGGCTTCCGACTCTGCAGGACCTGAGCTCTGCCTCCCTCCCAGAGCCTGAGGCTTTGTTTGTTCAGGAGCCTGAGGCTCAGCTCGGGTTTGTGGATCTGACAGTGACGTGTGTCCCCAGGGGCTGAGAGCAGAGGAGAGTTAGGGGCCAGCTGGCGGGCGGGCGGCCTCCTGGGTTCTCCTCGGGTTGGGGTGGGGGGCGGGGAGCTGGGGCATTGACTGAGCACTGTGGGAGCCACTGAGCCCGACCCCCCCCAATCCCTCCCAGCCACCAGAGACCACAGGGGCCAGGGGTCGTCCTCCCTCAGGCCCTCGCCTCTGCCAGGCAGGGAGGGCACCCCAGATGCCAGGTCACAGCCCAGACCCTCGACTCCATCCTCAGAACCTCGGCCTGGGGACGCCTGGGCCCCAGAGCCTCACCCCAAGCTTCCAGTGCCCTGCACCCCACCCTGGCCAGTACAGTATGGAGGGGCCACGGGCGCTGGGCACGTGGGGACTCACTTGTTGTAGAGGACGATGTCGGGCCGCCAGATGAGTTCGGAGGGGATTCGGATGGAAGTGACATTCTCATAGTCGGCGGGGTCCCAGCGCAGCTTGTAGTCATGCCACTCCTGGGCCGGTGGGG